TCTGAATCTACTCCATTTCAAATCTAGGCTTGTCCCAAATCATTATCAAACCCCTTGACCTTCCCGTAGCTCCTCATGATACACACTTGAATTCATCATCATACCACATTCTTTCAACTATACATTCCTCCATAAAATTAATTTTTGTTTCTTGTATGAACAACATCTCAACTTTGACTCTGGTAAATTTTCTCACCGCCGAAACTTTCACACTCGACCTCAGCCCTCTTATATTCCATAAGGCAATTTTCATTTTACCTTTAGGAACTGCTCGATCAAATCTTAATTACTATCAAACAAATTAGCCACCTCAATGGTTGTAAATTCCTTTTCCACTTCTTCTTTATCCCCGCAAAATCTAATTCCCAATTCTTGACCCAAGAAGATTATCTCTCTTGCTCCTTTCAATCCCCGCACCCATCTTTGCTGCAAGATTGAATGGAAAATTGCATCTACCTCAAGGGCTGATTGTTCCCGGTTCTTTACCCTATTTTTGGATCTCCTACCCTCAAGAGCATTTTTTTCTTCTTCGATTTTGATAGAGTAGCTTTCTTTACTTGCTTAATCGAACCACCCTCTTTGATTCTAACTGGTATTTTCTTATTCTGAAACTTCAGAAGCTCCAAGACGAAAGTCCTGTCGACCCTTACTTCAACCACTCCTTACCCACTTTTCCCTAATTTGTGCCCTCTTGATAAATTTCCTCATCTTGGTTAGACCTTTTTTCATCTTCTGAACTTTAAGTTGGACTTGGCACAATATTTGTTTATTGATCTAATGCAGTTAGAAGCCCATCGCTTTCAGATCCTGTACTACTCTTGCAGAACTTAGGTTTTCTAGTATTGGATCGGTTGAAACAGAATATCTACAAAGCCATCATTTATTTTAGTCGTTGCAAGCCTTTTGTCTTTTAATTCAAGCTGTTTCCAGCATTGTTTCTCTCTATGCTCTTCACTCTAGTATTTTCCTTGGGTGTTGAAGCATCAGTTCTTTCTTCCAAACTATAACCCACTAGGTCTTTTTTCCCATATGCCCTAAAATCTTCACTTAACAGAACATCCTTATGATTACACTCCGACTTTACATACTGCATTAAAATCTTCAACAGACCCAACAATTTTGTTTGAAGATATCGCCGTCGTCTCTCTCTGAGTCAAGATCGGGGATTTCACCAGTGAGAATGAACCCTTTTTTCCTGATCTTCACTACTTGACCGATCATTGATCATCGCAACCTTAGATTCCACACCTTGAAGGCCCTCTTTTAGTTCTTCTTCTTTTTTCGGGAATGAGTTTTTCGGAGACTCACCCGAGGATAGCCCCACTAAATTCTGAAATGACACGAACTCATCCCTATTCACTACCCCACAAGCTTTTCTATTTGAATTATCCATAATACCTTTCTCTACCATCCTAAATCCATATCTCATATTTCCTGAGGTCCACCACTTCCTCAATTCTAGACTCCAGTTTACTTGACACTAGCAGTGTAAATTTTTTCATAATCCATCTGATGATTTAAGTTTTCCCCAAAGGCTTCGAGGATACCCCATAATTCTGCTCCCCTTTTCAATGTGATGTTGTTCCAATAATGGAGAGGTACTCCGGACACCTCCAGCCATGTTGATCTCTCTAATAACTTTAATCTTTTCTGACCATAATCTAACCTCCGATAATATTTCTTTAAGATATGACCATTGAAGGTCCTCCATCAAAAGAAAAAGGTCTTTATCCTCGATAGAAAAACATGAACTCTTTACCTCCCAACCTTTGAACTTTTATCTCCCCTATACCCCATTCATGAAGTCTATCTTCAATGTTGTTGACACTGGTCACTGTAGCCATTTCTCCCACTAAAGATCTTCTCGCCTTCCATAAATCTGAATCTTCTATATGAGCTTCAACACTTTTCTAGTTTTCACTTTCTGAATCATGGTTTCCTCCTCCCCTGATGCTAATTCTTATGTTGTTACCTTATTTGGAATCCAATTCATTTCCACAGACTGCATTTTTTCGACTTAACATTTTTTTAGTTTTCTAGCTAACTTAACAGATATACAATTTTCATACACCCTCAAACCATTTAACCTCTCAATCATTCTCATTGCTTTATTCCTACACCCCGTTTTGACGAAAGTGAATCTTGAACCTCTTTTATTCTTTGAATGCGATGTAAACCTTCTTTACTTCACCTTGCCTCCTGAAAAATTGCCACAAACCCTTCTAATGCAGATCATCCGGTTGGTTGTTGACGAACAACGAAACTTCCAATGTTATCATTTTAGTATTGAAATAGCGAGTAGTCTCTATATCTTAAGTCATAAGGTATTAGAAGTATCATAAAAATAGTGAAAACTTGCTTAACCTTGTACTATTTTTGTATTAGTTCTTCTAATTGGATTAAAATCATCAAATCATTAAATTTGGGCTTTATATTTGGAGATTAAATAATGATCCGTTTAGGACATTGGATTAAATTGACTATTACATTATTAATACTCTTTTATTTTTTTGTGTTAAAATTATGCTTTTATTCTGTTTATATTTTATTAGATTAAGTAATGAATTCGTTAGGCTGATGTTAATTATCATTGAAGATGTGCGAACATCAAAATCCTTGTTTTAAATTAATAAATGAAATTAAACGATCCGGTAATATAACTATGGGTAAATTACGCACTTGGTACTTAAACTATCAATTTGGTCCGTTTTAGTACCTAAACTTTTAATTGTTTTAAAATCATATCTAAAGTTTAGATTTTGTTTCAGTTTAGTACATACAATTAAAAACTTTAGTTTTTACTTCATTTTAGTACCCATTCAAAATTTATGGTAAAGATTTTAAAAGATTGAAAGTTTAGGTACTAAAATAAACCAAAATTGATAGTTTAGATACAAAATGTGTTAAATTTTTAACGACAAAGTGCTAAAATGAAATGAAAACCAAACGTTAGATATAATTTTAAAAATTATAAATTTAGATATTAAAACGGATCAAAATTAATAATTTAAGTATTAAATGCGTAGTTTATCTTAAAAATATTGTTCATCGATATAAATAAGAAAATATAACAAAACAAAACAATTACAGTCATTGTTTATAAATTAGTTGAATCACTGTTTTATTTATCGAAAGCGTAAATGAATACTCAATGAATTTATAAATTAGTTGAAAATTTAAAGGTAAATTATTCAAAATAAAAGATAAATTATAGTAATGGCCGTCTACTTATTATTCTTTTTGTTTTAACAATCATTTTTATAATTTTATCAATTAAGTCACTCAACAATTTAAATACATTCAATTAAACCACTTTCCATTAATATTTAATGGAAAAGCTGACGTGACAGTTAAAATATTTGATATTATTACACATTTGGTCCATGTTACTTGTATATTCTATCAATTTGGTCCTAATTTTAATAAATTAAAATAAACTTAACCCTCAACTCAAAAGGTGCCAAAGTAATCTTTATTCATCTTATTGTTTCAATTTGTAGGAAAACAAACAAGAAATAAAATAAAATAAAATAAAACTTACAAAAAATTGATTTCATTTTTGAGAAATTTAAAAAATTAAATGTCAAACTCTTTGATTTCAAAAATGCATCAATATTAAGTAAAATCAAAATTTAAACTCTTAAAAAGAAATAATCCAAAACAATTAGACTTTACTTATAATGTGAAGAATTAGGTAAAAGTAAAATTATAATACTTGGACAACTGAGTAATAAAAAATACATATTTTCAAACAAATGGTCTAAAAGTAATTACAAAATAAAATAAAACATCTAATTTAAACTCATGAATTTGTCACACTAATTGTCTTGCATGTATCAATGTAAAATATAATATTTTAAGCTAAAAAAATGAAGAACATGGAGAAATGATGGCATGTCTCACCATAAAACATCAGCATGTTTATTTTACTTATTATTAGAAATAATAAAAGTCGATAAAGAGAAAAAATTGTGTTGATTGACATTAAATTAAATTCCTCTCCAATTAATTATTTTGACATATTTGAGGATTAAATTTATTTTAATTTATTAAAATTAGTACCAAATTGATAGAACATATAAATAATAATGATTAAATGTGTAATTATACCAAATATTTTAAATGCAAAATCAATTTTTTTGTTAAATATTAACGACAAGTGGTTTTATTGAATGCATTTAAACAATACATTAGTGAAAATTCAAAAAGTTGATCAAAATAAAAAGGGACAATAGTTAGTTGATCACTGATATAATTTACCTTTTATTTTAAATAATTTACCTTTAAATTTACAACTAATTTATAATTATACGTTGTGTCATGTAGAATTTTAATGTTTTATAAATTAATTTATCGGTGTTCATAATTAGTAGTGCTCATCATCGCTCGTCGTAAAAGAATAATATTATACAATAAATAAAATAGGAGTACAACATAATTAATAGTAAGTTAATAAACAAGACCTCACTTCAGTTTTATAGCCTTCTCAATCTCTCTATTTTTATGCATTATACATCTAAACTAAGAACTAAACCACATATATAGGAGAGGTCAACGGACAAAATGAAAGCTCTAGTTGTTGCCAATTTCTTCTTGCATTGTCACCTCAATTTCCTTGTCGCAGTGAAATTCCATGCTGCAAGTATCATCTCTTTTGCAAGCTTTTTCCACCTCAATTCTTCTCCAATAAGTATCTTATTTGTTGCTGCCAAATGTTGTTGCTGCTGCCGTTTAAGCTGCTTTTGCCACCTCCTCGTTGTTCATTGTTGTTCAATTTCTTCATTTACCAAGTATCTTCTTCGCCATCCTTCCCTTTTTCAATTTTTTTGACTTTTCAGCAAAACTAGAATTTTCTAGTTGCTGCACTTGGGAAATCAAATTTCTAAGATTATTATCGTAACCAACGGAGTAGTTAGGTTTTAGACACTAACATCAATCATTGCACGAAATTGATTTTAGAAGATAAGATCGAAAACAATATTTACGGTTTCATGAATATTTCTCATTTCATAAAAAAATAGAGAAAGAAAGAAGCTGAGAAGTAAGAAAATGGAGGAAGCAGAAGGGAGTGGCAAAGACGAGAGGTGGAGTCTTCAAGGCATGACTGCCCTTGTTACTGGTGGAACCAAAGGGATTGGGTAAATTTCTCTCCCTCTCCTAGTTTTTTCTTCATTACATGTGTTCGGAATACACAGATTTGATACGAGTCTAGTCGAAATTCACACAAAAAAAAATTATTTATTATTTTAGTGTCTTCAACGTGTTTGTTTTTATGCCGATGTGAAACGCAACTGTTGCAATGCGAGCAGACATGCAATCGTGGAGGAATTAGCAGGGCTGGGAGCAAACGTACATACATGCTCTCGAACTGAATCTGAGCTCAACAATTTCTTGCTCCAATGGAAAGCCAAGGGTTTCCAAGTCACTGGTTCAGTGTGTGATGTTTCGGATCAAGCTCAAACGGAAAAGCTGATAAACACTGTTTCCTCCGAGTTCAAGGGGAGGCTTAACATCCTGGTAAAAAAATTACTACTAATATTCTCATTTGGTTATAAATTAGATGGATCTGAGTTGTGATGATGATTGGTAAAATTTGCAGGTAAATAATGTGGGGAATAATATAGGGAAAATGGTGACAGATTACACGGCGGAAGATGTTTCATTTCTGACGAGTACCAACTTCGAATCTGCTTTTAACATTACCATACTGGCTCATCCTCTATTGAAAGCTTCAGCATCTGGAAGTATTGTGTTTTTCTCTTCAATTGGTTCTATTATGCCTGCATATTTAGGACCTATATATGGAGCCAACAAAGGTAAACTTTGCTTCTATATTTGACCCTTCCAATATTTTAACATGTGTACATGATCGTTTTCTATTTATATAAATTTTGATATCTTATTGATAAAATTTTGAAGATTTGACATCAAATTTCATATTCATGTTGTTTTGTCTTTCTTTTTCGTACTACAATGATGTTTAAATTATTTTATTATTTATATATATTTGATAAATTATAATTTATACTCTTTTGACTTCGACATGTTTTAATTTCTTTCTTATACAATATTATTTCTTACTTTAATTTTTCTTTTTCTTCGGACTCATTTCATGTTGAACATTGCAGATATGTTTGTTTTCTTCTTTCATCTGTGTATACATATAATATACAAAATTATTTGATTTTGTTGCAACGGCCATGAACCAACTTGGGAAATACTCGGCATATGATTGGGCAGGAGATAACATTTGGTTAATACTGTTGCACCTGGGTTGATCAAAACTCCCCTTGGTGAACGAGTAAAACTCTTCCACATGCTTATCTTTTATGTTTAGCCCATAGTTAGCCTATTTAATGCTATAAAATACCTTGAAATAATAAGCCTATGTAATTAGCGAGGACAAGTCAAATTCCGATAACAACTCAATGTCGTAATAACTAATAAACAAGATAATTTAGAAAATTAATTATCTTATCGTTAAATATTTAGCATACTAATAAAAATAGGGCACGAACGATGTCGACTATAAGAGATCAGTTCATCATCGTCTTGTTTCACCACGTAATTCATAAATGAAAATATATATAAATGATCTTCTCTCTATAAGATGAAACTTTCTCTCTCACTCTCTCTCCTAGTTTTTTCATTCGGAGGGAAGAAAAATCATTTATCTTTGAGGAGAGATATAAAGATTAAGGTTGATTATAATTGGTAACTTTCTGTCCATATCTAAAAGAATGAATTACGACTGTCTAGTTCATTTTTTTTTTATTTTTAATTAGTCCATTAAATTTAATTCGTTTGTTGTATGATTCACCCAAATTAAAAACTTTATATGAACACTTTCGTTTTTTCCCTTGTTTAGAGATAATAGATGTATTGATGAATATTTTATTATATAATTTTTTCAGTATATTGAAGAAGGTCATGGAGAAGCAATAGGGACATCTAAAAGCCGAACAGCATTAGGACGGCTTGGAGAGCCAAAGGAGGTATCGGCAATGGTGGCATTTCTCTGTCTACCAGCGGCTTCATATATAACTGGACAGATTATTTGTGTCGATGGAGGAATGACAGTGAATGCCATTTACTTTCCAAAATAAATTACACTACGATAAACACCTTGGGTCGTGCCTGAGCCACTAGTCAACCCAAATGTCTATGTAGTCTATAAGTTGTGATACATAAGACATGTTTGAACTATGAGCAGGGCCGTATTTTGGCCTGGGCAGAAGGGGAACATACCCAGGCCCAGAATTTCTATAATATATTATATTTATAAAAAAATGAGTTTATACAAATTATGGGTTCAAATATTAAACAAAATCTCAAACGATTATCATATCCCAGTCAGAATGTTAACGTTCAACTCAAAATGACGTCAATTCTATAGCGGAAAAGACTAATTAGAACAAATGAATAGTCATGTGATCATTTTATAATTTTGTAACTTTTAATAATCGATGAACTCAATAAAGTAATACCCTATATTTAGAGGAACATTTTGTATCTTTCTATAATCAAGGTAGAATAAAGCAACATCCTATAATTAATAGACTATTAGTTCATAATTTCCCTACTTAATGTTATAAAACAACTTCTTGAAACGATAAGCCTCCGTCATCAGTAAGCATGAGTCAGATTTTGATAACAGTTCATTGATGCAACAACTGATAAACAAAAAAAATTGGATACTATTTCATTTCAACCCATTAAACGGTCCTGATCAGTTGTTGTATATCTTCAATTAATTGTAAATAAAAAATTAAGAATCTGATATGAACACTTTTTTTCTTTTATTGTTTAGGGATAATAGGTGTGTAGATAAATATTTTTATTGTACCTTTGTTTTTACAGTATGTCGAAACGATTTTCTTAAAATAACATATTTAATTTTAATTAAAGATGTAATTAAAAAAAACTCTCACTTTGAAAAATTCGGATTCCCTTTAACTAAAATAAAATACAGCTCGAAGAGTCACCACCAATATTTTATTAGGGTGTGATTGGACACCCAAAATATTTTGCTACTCTAATAAAATTAAATTTAAAAAATTATTAAAATAACACTAAAAAAATCTGCGTACCAGGAAATGAGTTCGGGAACCGGTTAAGCGTGGAGAAGGATTAGCACCCCCACAATACTCTAAATCGATACATTGTCCATTAATTATTTGTCTTTGCAATAAAATTCATAAGTTCTAATTTAATTCAATTTAAGATTCCTTTGAATAAAATTCTTGAATTTTAGGATGAAATATCATAATATTCAATTATTTCCTATCAAGAAGAAACGATTTCTCATATTTTGAGACCATCAATTCTTACTCAAATCGAAATAAAGAAATATTACAGTTTCATTCAAATGCACGAAATTAACAAATTTTATTGCAACTTACCCATCCTTTTTAGAAAGAAGAAGAATATTCGATTATTTAAAGACATCGAGATCGGACCTTAGATAAGTTCTAATGATCTTTTCTTGAAGAATTTAAATAAATGAACATGTTATTTTTCTTTCATTCCCAAATTTTAGGTGTAATTAATTTTTAAAGTTCCACTTAATAGGATATTCTTTCATCTTAAAATATTCGAAAGTGACATTCTTATTAGTTAAGACAGTCACTTCATGATAATTTTAAAATGAACAAATTTTACCTTTAGTCAAATTATTTTAATTGAAGTCGAGTTGTGCTCATGAGGCCATCATACATGTCGGATAAAATATAACTAAATTTAGATATACATATACATATAAATATGATAAAAAAATAGGCATTAGGACCAAAATGAAATGCGGGTAAAAGATGATGCTCAAAATAGAATACCAGAAAGCTTCATTCAATGACCAAAACAAGAAATAACAAAGCCCAAGGGACCCCATACATAATTAACCCACATACGAAAAATGCTCTCTGCTCCCTCCCCGAAACTACGTCGTTTTGAACCAACTATATTATGTAAACATCAAGGCCTAATTCGGCCATTCCCTCATTTCCTTATTTATTTCTCTCTTTCTTCACTTTAGAGAGAAGGAAAATTCTCTCTTCTCTCTCTTTCTTACTGGTTGTGGCAACCCGGCCGACCGCTGTACATCGGTGCCTGTAACCATTGTCGGCCACTGTCCATGGTGTCTGGAAAATTAAAAAATATACCCAAAATACTTTTCTCACTAACCCAAACCTGAATCGGACCTTGCTTTCACCTAAAAATTCCCCAAAAATCCTAGATCTACAAAAGAAAAATGAAATGTCTACATCTCTTTGCCGTTAAACCCACCATTGGATGGAGCCTTGGTCGAACTATGTTATTCATTGTTTGTGAATGAAGATCTTGACCAGAGAGATCTTCGTTTTTTGAGGCTTAAATCGAAAAACATATTTTTTCTGTATGTTTTTGGTTTCAATTTTGTTTTTGTGGGGTTTATTGTTTTTGTTTTCTGTTGATGGTTGTTCCTTGTTGGTTCTGTTGTGGTTGTGGTCCTTTTATAGGCCACGGGGTTCACTCATTGGACCAGTCTAAGGGGGGCTCCCTCTGAGTCACCGGGGTGGTCGTGACTCACCAAGGGTGGTCGGTGAGCTGGTTGGGTGCATTTAATGTACCTAGATCTTTTGGGATATGTCTGATGACATCAGCGTCGGTGGCTCGGGTTGAGGTGGCTGGAGGTAGTGCTATTATGGTATAACCTTAATGTTGGTCGATCTGGATCATTAGATGTGTCCATATCGTGTGGCTGAGAATGGTATGACACATATAGGGTTTCTCAAACCCTAGTTGTTATTTGATCTGGACCGCCAGATTGGTTCATATCTGACAGTTCCAGGCTTATGGCGACGCTAGACAAAAATAGGAAATCCTAACGGGTTTCTCCACTTTTGGCTGCAGCATTGGGCTTCGGGGTAATTGTAATTGGGCCTTGAAAGGGCTCACCTGCTGGGTCAGGCTGGTGAGCCTAACTGGGCCTGGATGACCCAAATTGGACTTGGATCTTGGACCATTGGACTTGGACTTAGATGACTCGAACCCTACAATAAATAATAATAATAATAATAATAATAACAACCTTTTAAAAACATAAATTATATTATATATCTATATATTTTTAATACTATATTTATTTTCAAATTATAATATATGTTTTCTAAAACTATTATATATATATTTATAATTCAAACTATATATTTTATAAAACTATATATATATATATTTCAAAACTATACTATATATATGTTTTTCAAAATTATATATTTATTTTCAAAACTATACTATATTTATATTTTTCAAAACTATACTATACATATTTTTTAAAACTATATATTATTTTCAAAACTATGCTATATACATTTTTCAAAATATAACAAAACAAAAATAAACTAAACAAAAGGAAACTCTAGGATGAAAACACATGTCTACAACTGCCCCTCTTTGTCCATTATCGTGCAACAAAAATAGAATAAAGATAAAGACACAAGTTTTCATCCAGAGGCGTTATATATCCTTTAATGGGAAATCTGCTCCACTAAAATTTTAGGGTAGATCGTATTTGATATGTTTCTCTTTTTCGGGTAGTCAAATATGAATTTTTTTTATTCACTTCACTTCTTTTCAGGGAAGATTGAATCGAGGTTGATTTGCTTCACTGCTCTTCAGGAAGATCAAATCTGGAAAACGATGATATGCTCTGTTAATCTTTAGGAGAGATCAAATCTAAGAGAAAACGGGTCTGTTCCACTCCTCTTTAAGGGAGATAAGACTCGAGAATAATTTTGATCCACTTTGCTGCTCTTCAGAGAAGATTGAATCGAACGTGATTTGCTTCACTGCTCTTTAGGAAGACCAAATCGAAAAGAAAAAGAATATGATTCACTACTCTTTTGGGGAGATTAAATCTAAAGGAGGACGTGTCTGCTCCATTACTCTTTAGGGAAGATCAGACTCTAGAAAAATTTGAACACCCATCTTTCTAGGGATTTTTAATTGTTTACTCCTATCTTGAAGTTTCAATATCTTCAACCTTCATCTTTCTTTTAGGAAACCTATAGACACCTAATTACATTTGTCACCATGCATTTATGAATTTCATGATCATATTTATACCTAAAATGTGTGTTATGACGCAATTTTAGTGTATTTTCTTTTTTGAATGAGAACCCTCTCTCGTTAACCATCTTATGACTCAATTTCATATTGGACACAGAAAACATGACCTGTTTACCCTACCTGAAAATCTTGCCCCCATATTCTTTGCTTGGAAACGATCTTAGTTTTCTTCCTTCTTGAACCCTGCCAGTACCAGTGACCAACCACTCGATTAGTGACAAATATTTTGGGTCATTATTAAATGGCTGAAACTTTCTATGCACTTCAAAGTTTTGGTTTCCATGTATCATGTCATCACGCAAGCTTACAGGTTAAAACCATTGTCAACTTCAGAACACTTGCACTTTTCGAAAACTTTTTACACAATAATACACTATGATCTCATGTACTTCAAGTTAAACTACATGTTTTTAATTTTCAAAGTAAGATGCTTGAAAAAGGAGAGTTAACAAGAAAATACCTCTTTTTATTTATATAAATGTAAAGTTTTTTGAGTGACTACATGACAAAGATTAACTGGAAAAAAGTAAAAGGAAAAGAAGTAGGCATCCTCAAATATCAATAGTACATATGTTTTTAAACTGGCACGCCGTAGAGTGAAACAAGTATAGCTTTTGTTAAAAGGATATTGAGAGTTGTGATAATTCGTAAGGGTATGAAATTCCTTCTAGACTACCAAATTTCCCCTGGTTGGGTGCCATCAACTAATATCACACTTAATTTCTTTCACGGTTGCTATAATCGAGACTTTTTAATCTTCAGTACTAACACTGATCATCACTTGATGTTGTTACCCAACCCAATAACCTTTTAATTTTGATAATGAATCTAGGACCTCTACCAGGCACAAATCCTAAATTTGAATAACACTCAAGCCACCCTTTGTGGGTTTTCAACTTGAGACCTCATTTGGTTTCAAAACGTCCTTTTCTGATTTTCATCTTGAACGCTCCTTTTATTTTTTCTTTTTTTCCATTTTTTTCAAGAAAAATATCTCTTAACT